TTTCCCTACTTTGAAACTTGTGTAGCAAAAATTACAGTAAATTCCTTCTTTTTTTTTATTTTACACATGCTTTTGCATTGTTTCAATGACCAGTCTTCCCTTTTGTTTTTGTAAAACACACAGAATTGAACTTACAATAGTACAGACAACTGTTACTACACACAGAGCTATTATTGCCCCTATTACTGTACTGTTACTGTTAACACTATCATTGTTGCCATCATAATATAAAGGCACCACCATTCCTGTACGATTAACACTGTCATTGTTGCCGTCATAATATAAAGGCACCACCATTCCTGTACGATTAACACTGTCACTGTTGCCGTCATAATATAAAGGCACCATTATTCCTGTACGATTAACACTGTCATTGTTGCCATCATAATCTAAAGGCACGGATGGTTTTGGAGGAATGAACCATGTGGCTTGTGCTATATTAGACACCTCTGAAATCAAGTTGGTATCATCAACAGCACGTATAGCAAAGTAGATTATGGTGTCATTTTCAATATCAAAATTTTCGAGATTAATTTTAAATGATTCTTCTCTACCAGCCTCCTTAGGTATGAGATTAGAGGAATTCACAGAAGTAGCACGATCAAAGTGATTTCTTAGGTCCAGGAGACTTTTACTGCTTTTTATTATGTAGTGATCAGCTAGGGAAAAAAAAAAGAATGCATGTTAGGAACAAATTAATATAGATGTTTTAATATCCCTGTTTTGGTGACAGTATAGGACTTCCAGAGCCATTTTGTAAAAAAACATGCAAATGATTCTTGTTTTACAACTGACTGTGATGCTCAGCATGGAGGGTTGGCAAATTTGCTTTTAAACCTTACTTCACAGTGTCAAAGGTCGATTGTTGCTTAGTCTGGGATTTCCTTCTTTTTGCTAGCTTTAAAAATACTGTTTCACCAACACCCAGCTTTGTGCAGACCTGTACAAAATGTAGCTGAATGAGAAACTGTGCTGTTCAAATACAAACATAAGGTGAAATGGCAATTACATGTATATGTGTAGATATCAGGACTGTATTCTTTCTCTCAGCATGAAGTTTTGAAAGCAAAAACTGTGAAAGACAGAAAATTATTCTCCCATATGTAATCAAAGAACTGGTAGGTACATTGCTATAAATGTGTTTGATTAATTTTGGGGGGTTCTGCTGTTTCTATTTCAAGTCTGTAGCTTTTCAAGACTTTCCCCTCTTCACCCTCTCCTCCTCTTATGCATATCTTTTCCTCTTTAGATAGTGGAGAAATGTGTATGATATGCCTAGCTCCAAACCAGTGCAGGATCTGCTATCTTAAACTATAATGCAATAACTGACCACTTTATCTATAAAAGTTTTTAGACATATAGTTGCTAAATAGCAATAAAAGTTGTTGAGATTTTTTTAATTATTATTTAGGGCTTTTTTCGTTGTGTATCTGGTTATTAAAAATTTAGATAAATATAAGATTTTAAATGTAATCTACATAACTGTAGATTGTATATTTTAACATACTGGCTTATGCAAGGAAGTGCTTGTACATTTTGTCTGGAATTAGGTTTCATTTTTCCTGTACAGCAACCTTAAAATGAGTATTTTGGATAGAACGTTACTGCATCTCTGTGGTCCATTTACATCTTTGTAAATAGATTAAAGCTTTATATTGTCCATGTTGGCTGATTATTTTTTTTTTAATTTTGCACAGACATGGACTAAGACTTGCTAAAGTCTCTGGTGGTTGTGTTGTAATTTTATTTACTTGATTTGTTTAAAATATTCCTTGGTTTACCTGGTTTGTTTTGGTTTTTTAACACAAAAAATTAAGGAGGTATGCAACAGGGTAACTTTCTGTTTGGTTACATTTTCAGGTGGGAAAGATGTAGCCCTCATCCCTGAGAGGTGGTCCTCAAGGTATGTCCTTTCAGATAAAAATATTAACCTCATCTCACAAAAATGTAGTGTCTGACTCACCTTTTCCATTGTCCAAGTCACCTCCTGGAGCTGTCCAAGACAAGACTATTGTTTTGTTTTCTATAAGAGCATGAAGGTCTGTAACTTTACAGGGTGGATAAACAGGAGGATAATCTCCTCTATTCACTACAAGGGAACTTGTTGAAATTCTGCTGAAACTTCCCAGCTTGACTTCCATTTCTTTATCAGTAAATTTAGGTCTCGGTGCATTCATATAAATTTTACCTGTTTAAAACATTTTTCAACTTTCATCATGACAGAACTCTGAATTTCATTTTCTTTTACTATCTGTTATTATCTCTTCTCATCCTGTAAGTTTTCTTTAGCTTATTCAAATTTAGTGGAAAGTTAGTGAAGTAAAGACAGAAAATAAGGCGATCTCAAGATTCTCAGCATAAGATTTAGGAAACCCCAAAAGCAGTCAAAGTCTGAGATGTGTAAAAGTTGGAAATGATGCAACCAGTAAAGCGGGTTGCAGATATTGGTGAGCCATGGCTGAAATAAGGTAGTTCTGTCGATCTCTTCACCCATACTGCAGGCCTTAAGAGAGTTCCAGTTATACAGGCTATACTTTGAGAGCTTTTTAGACAATTTTAATGCTAATTTTTATAAATTTCACAATCTGTAAGTGTGAGAATATTAAATTGCAACAAGTAATATTTTTTCAGCATTAAGATGAAAATACTAAAAAAATAAAGAAATCTCAAAAGGTAAGTTTTCTAGCAGCATTAGTTTGTATGCTGATGTTGCACGTTGAATTCATTTACACCAAATCCCCGTTTTAAAGTCTCAAGAGGAATTATAGATTTGAAATTCCTGTTGTGAGATGCTGAAATACAGATTCTGAGCAATGTTTATCCTTCTCATGGCTGTAAGAGAAAATAATTTTTAGATTAAAGACAATATTTTATGCTGTTCTTATACATAGGAAACAATAGTTGAAGCTGGTGTGTTTTGTCAGTGCTTTTTTGTAGTGAAAATGGTAAACGGAATTTAACACCAAATGCAACTTCTGTGAATCTAAATGACCCCATTTTCTAAACCTTTACATGAAATCATGCAAAGAATTGTCTGATTCATAAACACACTTTACCATTTTCTCTGTAGCCTGGTATATAGAAGGCTTGGTTTTGCTTGAAGCCAAGTCTGGTGGTTGTATTTCTCCCCAGGACATTAACTTTTACACTGTATCTTCCAATGCCTTGTAAAGAAGTAAAGTATCTTGAGTAAATTCCATCATTCTTTATCGTGTCAGCACCTTGGTATAGAATTATTGAGAATTAATATTTCAAACAAGATACCTGCTGGTAAACAAGGGTGTGTTCATACATAAACACAAAATCTGAACATTACTATGCAGAAAACCTCACAGTGTTTTTGTAATGTGGACATCTTTAAATAGGAGTGGTCCCACTATGACAACCTGCGTTTCATACGTATTTTGTTAAAAAACAATTTTGCATTAACACTTTTAACTAGGTGAATCTCTTGTAACTACATGGAACCACCAAGTTAATACTTACTTGCCATCTACTACATGAAGCACCTTTAAATTAGAAAAATGTCATAATTTAACCTTTGGCCAGGAATTTGTCAAGACAGGATTCCTTCTCTTTAAGTGAACTTGTGCAGTTTTACCTGACTGGCTGCAGTAGATGTGCAGGCGACAGCCGAGCTAACTATTTTAAAGCCTGGCAGTAATATAAAAATAACCTCATGAGCTCAGAAAATAGAACATGTTTATGAAACACAGCATAACACGTTAAAAACTTATATTTTTAAGTACAGCAATGTGAAAGCAAGGACAGAATGAGGAGGCACTGCTGGGCTACTACTGAACTGATATAGACTACAGGTCTGCAGCAGTGGTGAGAGAAAAGAGGAGAGAAGAAAAGAGATCGAGGGATGCTGAATGCCATGAATGTCTTGCTATTACTCTAAGAAAGAGTATTTTTGAAAAGAATAATGCACTTATTTAACATACAAAAGAGAGAAAGCTAACATTTGGTAAGCTAATGTTAAGACTGGTCCAGCTTCATAGAATATGAGATGGACTAAAAAAACAGCTTGTTTTCTTTTTACGGTGCCTCTTGAGGGCAGATGATTGCATGAAGTGCACTTTCAGAAAGCAGGTATGAGCAATGTACCCTTTACCACGCACAGTTCTTCTGCTTTCATCCTCAATAACAACACAGGAAAGAAAGCGGAACAATTTTTCAGGTAAAGGTCCGTGTCTTTGTTTTCCTCACCAAGAAAAAGCTTTGTAGCTTACTTCTGCTCTAAAGCAGGAGGATTCTCTTTCTCCCTTTTTATTTTTTTCTTCATTTAGGGCATAGCCATGACTCTGTCCTTAATGATAAATCTGACAGGAACATGCAGACTTGAATTCCAAAATGCATCAATGTAAAGGTTTTTACTATGTATATGGAACCTTACCTGCTCCATTATCAAGAAGTTCAAGGTTTACTGCTGCAGCACCGTCCTTCTCTATGGTGGCTGTCACAGTTGCACCAAGAATAGGCAAAAACCCTTGGCTAACCTCTGCATAAACAACAACTGGATTAAATGCTGTATTTGCCCTGTTCATATGAGCTGTAACGATCACAGGAGGAACAGAAGATGATGCTGGCCGAGAGGTAGCTGTTACTGATATATCTTGAGTCCCTGTATGAATATTTTTAATACAAAACTGCCAATCACCCACCTGCAAATAAAATACAAAAATATAAAAAACTAGTGAAAAAGCTTCATGTTCTACCAGGGCCATTATTTCCCTTATATAATAAAAAAAAAATAAAGAACAGCTGTATGCTAGTCTATAGGAAATGTTAATTCAGAAAATAAAAGAAAAAATACAGTCTTTACCTCTGCAGTGCCACTTATACTGAGTCTAGCTGCGTTTTGGGTTAAATCATTGATTATAAAGTCGAGGCTTCCATATTCTTTTCCTTTGGGGTCCCTCATGAAAAAAAATGGCTGAGATATATTCCATGCAATGCTGAAGAAAGTGCCCTTTCCCACAGTTTTGTCAACAGGCACAGTAGCATTCATCCATCCAGAATACTGAACAGTGAGCTCTTTGCTTTCAAGCTGTTGTTAGAGAAATAGAATTTGTCTTAGTGCTATATAGTAAAGAAGTATTTAACCTATTTTCAGAGTGATTGCTCATCCAGTGCACAATATTGTATCTATTCATTGCTGACTTAAAATGGATTAGTCTTGGAGGAGAGAATTGAAAAGCATTTATGCCTTTTGGAAACTAGCATGGAAAAAAAAGCCTCCACTTACTTATTTAGAACACAGAATTATATAGAGAAGATAGAAGGCTTTCTAGTTTTGCTCTCTCTACCTATAGGAAAATTAAGAGCCATTTGGCATGACTATTGAATGAAGAAAACTAATAAAATCCCAGATTCACTTTATGAAATGGCTGCTTGCATAGTAACATTGATTTTAAGTGTAAAATTATGGTAAACAGAATAAGTTACAGTAAGGGTAAGTAAGTCCTTCATTTCTCTATCTAAGCTATTTATCTACTGATCTAAAGCATTGTGCCAGTAAGCATTATTTCCACTGCAGTTTGTCTTTTAAAATCCTGGAAGAGAGAGAAAGAAAATGTCTCCACATATGACTGTAAGGCTTACGAGTAATGAGAAAGCAGAAATAACAACAGAACAGAGGAGAATATATAGAAGAGAGATGTGAACAATACTTCCTTTATTAAAATTAAAATAAATTTGTGTAATTTCCTCACTCTGATTTTATGAACAGTAAAGTTTGCAATTAGAAAATAGCCTGTCATAAACTTAATTTTTTTGCTTGTAAAGGTGGTACAGAAGAGTCAACTGAAGGCAACATAACAGGTCCAAAAATCCCGGATCTGCTTTTCAAATTTACATTGCTGCTTATAGTCTAGCTATCTTTGCAAGTGGTATATTTTGGATACAACATAGGACTGGATCTGTGTTAAAATATTAACAAAGTGAGGAATGAGTTGCTAAATTCTAATTAACAAATGGCCTAAATAAAAAGTCGAAAAGCTCATACATTAAAAAGATACATATGGCTTAAGAGAGAAGCTGTGTTTTTAATTGTATCTTTGTTACTTAAGCTAAACTGGTAAAATGCTCTGTAAGATAATGTTTCATATAAGAGTCAACTAAACATCCTAGGGCATTTCTAGTTTTCTCTCAAAGTCTCTTGGACTTCGACAATTGTAAGAAATAATTTTCTTGATTTTGTGAAATCAAGAATTATATAAATTATCTATATTATACATTTATTTCATTGCAGTGAAACGTAGATCACTAAAAAATGTACTTGCTCCTATTTCCAAATCAAGCCACTGACAATTATGATCATTAATGTCTAGATTAATTCAATTAGTGATCAAGTAAAAGCATAGGAGGAAAAAGAGGTGTTGAAATTTAGACCTGAATAGATTGTTCAGAAATATCTCCACTTTCTGATGTAAGTCTACTGAATGTCGTGACTAATTTACTGGGGGTGGCTCCATCTGCAGCATAAAGCTTTAAACCTCCTGAAAGACAAGAGCAAAAGAATTAGAAATACTATTTTTTCTCTAAAGTTGCTAAATTTTTATGTGACTTCTGGTACTGAATCTTCAAATGAAGCAGCCAATTTGTTACGAAATCAAAAAAGAAATGTGTCTTTTTATTAATGTGTTAATGCACGTCTCATAGTAAATTCTGGATTATGTGATCAACTTATTATGGCATAGTTTGCAAAAAAAATCACTCCCTGCAGCATATCATCAAGTACAGCATTTTTAGACTCTTTCTGGTACATTTGGGTCACATATTGTCCCTTTAGTGGAATTCTGCTCTGAAAATACCTCTGTAGAAAAGAGACAGTGGCATTCCATGGGTTTTGACTCTTAAAATCCTGATCATCTTCATTTCCAAATATGAAGTTTAGATCTCTTTTTGTGCATACTGAGTTCAAGCAGCTGTAGTCCATTGGAGGTTCTCATACTCACCGCAGATCTGTTAATGAAGATGGCTCCATACTGCTCTACCAAGTCAACATTGCGAATATGGCTTCATACTGCTCTACTAAAGCACCTGCACTTCATGCAGTTGTTGCAATTCTCTCTCAAGCTAGGATCATACATGCCAGACACAAACTGAGCCATCACCATGCTCCTACTGCACAGGTCACTGGAATCCCAGAGTAGGGGAGAGAATGAGCCCTGGGGAGTCTACCTGGGGTCTGCAGAAGCTGTCTGCAGCTCCTCCCACCACCCAACGCCTCTCGCCCTCCTCCCTCACGCACAGGCTGACATCAGGTGCGCAGCTTACATCAGGTGTATGGCTCTGCCTCGTGAGAGAACACATGGAATTGTATGAGCTGGAGGAGGTGTTAGCTCAGAGATCTATTCAGTGTCTTTGGAAAATTGATTTTTGTTTCTAAGCAGGAAGGCCTGCTGGTTGAAGACTATGTGCTGAAGGACCACCTGGGTTCTTGCTGGCTCACAAATCACTCTTAATAAATACTCTGCAAGTGGAGATTAAACAAATTCTGTCTTAAAATCGAGGCCAGAACAGAATTCAACTCTGGACTGTCCCATATTTGAGTTGATCTAATGATGTTGAAGAGTGCATAAGGGCATTACAAGTTATTTAAATTGCTGAAACAAGTGGACTGCGGTCTGAAAATGCACCTCTCAAATAAGGATATTTATGCACCGTATTTGTTTGGAGTCAGCTTGCTTTCTACATCTACAAAAGGCGTTTTCATTCTTCCATGGCATTTGCAGGTGCTGTAGCACGAAGCAACACCCCTACGGATAGTTTTTAAATGGTTGGTTTCAAAGTAATTATGTAGCTCCAGCTCAGCTGACAGCTATGCTTGCTAATGACAAGGGGAGTCATCGTGTGTTTACACAATGTGTTTACAATTTCCTAGCCAGGATACTTTCAGTTGAAAATTACTATTCTTTACGTAATACAACATGCTTATAAGTTAAAGCATATAGAAAGCTATAGTTATTATTGCCAGAAATAAATTCCAGGCATTTCTTTTTTTTTATGTTATGTAACAATATCATAATTAAATCATGCTATTGCATTTTTTAAATCGAGACAGCTTTTAAAGCAAATCTATGAATCTAGAGAGTTTTGCTTGTTTGTATTAAAACAGCCTGTCACAAAACCCAATTTTCTTTAAAATTAAATTTGTGTTAAATTTCCTAAATTTCTTTTTTTCCGACCAATGAATTGCTGTGCTTTTGCAGTCTCATAGGTGAATATGCATGCCAGCAAAAGAGTATATTTAGAGTTCTTACTTGTTAGTGTTGAAAACTCTTCTAATTCTTTGGCTGCCTGTGGCCCCAGTGCAATGGTGTGAATTTTTGCTCCACTTTCTTTCACCGACTGCAAGCAAGCTCCTACACCCGAGTCCTCTCCATCTGTCAGTAACACAATTTCTGAACCATATGTAGTAGCCATTTTATCTTTAATTAACTGCACCAAGAAAAAAATTCATTAAATAAGCAGCAGAATAATTTTTAAATACTAGTTTATCGCAGAGCACAGTCAATGTATGCATTTTAAACTGTTAACTTCAAATATAAGACAAATATATTCTTTAATAAGTGTTTGAATTTTTATTTAACACTAAACCTACTACAATATAAATTATTGCAACTGATATTGCAACATCTAATTGCTTAGATTTAGTAAGTTTTCAATTATAAATAATGAAAATTTAATACATATTTTCCTAGGGAAGGAACCTGTCCCAAACTGAAGATGTCAGAAGCATTCTGCCTGTATATACTTTGCTGGTTCAGGGACTGGAAGAGCATCATATTAAAAACATGTCCGCTGTCTGGAAGTACTCTTTATTCTCCACTCAGAATTTCAGAAGTAGAAAAGTACAGGCCTCTAGCTAAGGGTGGACTCTGAGGTAACTGAAGGTGGGGCAGAAAGGGGTAGGGAGCACCCGTTGTGGGGAGGCCTCTGTCCTGCCCATTCCATCCCTGTCTGGTTGCCAGGCTTCTTCCTGATGTCCCCCTGTCCTGAGCCTCCTCTCTGCCCTGGACTCAGCTTCCTCAGCAGTCTCATCTTTCTCCATACAATTTCTCTCTTTTTTCCCTTTTCCTACACGTTGCTCCTGATTTTCAGTTTTGCCAAATTAGCCCAAGGAAGGAAAACAGACAAATAAATAATAATATCTATCCATCACTGTTTCCCAATCTCACAATCTGTATGGGGTTTAACAGTTTTAAGGGCTTGATTCATGACTAGTGAACCATCGGAATTAACAATACTACCATTGTAGAGCTTCCCATTTTAACACTTATTTATTCCGTATGTTCATTGTGATTCATGAGTCAGATCTCTGGTGTTTCCTCAGTACACATTTTGCTAGAAAAAAATTTTAGAGTTTGCAGGAATAGAATATGATGTTCATTGGTGTGTTGGTCTCCAGCCTTTTCTCTGTATATACACCCAGCAATGTGATCAGGCTCTGAGTTTATCCAGTCATGTGAGAGATTGGACTACAGTATTGCATGTTTCTTTCCATTAGAAGTAATTACTGTTTTAAAGTAACCTCTCGACTTTCTCTTAAACAGCTAAATAGAATAAGCTTCACAGGTTTCCAACTAGAAATTTGATTTTCCAAAATTTAGATCATTCTTGTTGTTCATTTTGGAATTTGATCTTATTTTTCAATATCCTTCTTGAAGCACGGACATCACATCTAGCCTGTTTTCTGGTAAAACTCTTTCTAATGCCATATAATGGCAATGCTAAACAGTTTCTATACCAAATTTTCTCTTGGTAGATTCAAGAATCAGATTATCTTTCTTAACTCTGCCACTGCACAGGAAATCCATGTTCAGTGGGCTATCAAGTCTGTTTCTCACTTCTTCCTCATTTTCCATACATTCCCGGAGATATTTCCAAATTATACTTTACCTTAAGTCCTTTATTTATGCCTGCACAGATATTGGTTGTTCCACTAGCAAGTGTAGGCAAATATTGAACAAGTTTTTGGCGTGCTTCATCATTGGTTATTTGTTGCAAAGGAGCTTTTACAGATGCTTCAGAGTCAAAAGTGACAATTCCAGCCCAGGAATTGATTTCAATAATATGGAGCAGAAATACCTCTGCAGCACTATAGAGATGTTTGATGCGGTGATGCTGTATGCAAAGAAAAACAACATCCTTAGAATGCAATCTCTTCTGAAAAGCTACGACTATGAACAAAATATAGGATTTTTAAATGTTGATCAGGTTTTAATTAAAAATTAAAAACTATCTGCCATAAGATAACTCATATATGCCCAATTCTTGAAGAGAGGATATGTAAACCATATTCTGGTATTGTGAAAGTGCAGCAAACTGCAGCTCCCAGGAAAGATGTCACCAGGCAAAGGCTGTTTTCTGATGTTATGACTTCATTCCTAATCAAGATTTTTGTCACTTGCAGATTTTCGTCATAGGATGATGGCAATGCAAAAGGACAACACCTAAGATGCCTGAGGAGTAGGTTAGTCTAGAGAATCAGTATTTTGAAAATACAAGTAATAAAGTAAAAGTATGGCTATTTTAAATGCAACTATTCAAAGGGATTACTGAAAAAAAGTTATATTTGAAATAATTTGTCTCTGGAGCTAGCTATTCTTGTAGTATTTATTTCATAAATATCTTCCTTTTGGTTTTTAGCATGCCATTATTATTTACTAACTGATTTAATAAAATGTACTATGATTGGTAGACATCTGTATTATAAAAATAATATAATTTATTACAATTGCAGGTCTTTGCTGAAGATCAGTCTCAAGAACAGCTCTGGACTAGAACAGCATGTCTGGAAATAGATCTGTCGATGGAGCACCATGGGAGAATCCCACAATTATTACAGGTATGCCATAACTAAAGAATTGGAGCATATCCTGCTTTATGCTTCTTCGTGTATATTTTGGTTTAAGGTATGACTGTCAAATATTTAAGAATATTTCTCAACATGTTTGAGCTTTTTTAAATTACCTTCTTTAGATGAATAGTCTTATTTTTAGGCTTGAATTCCTGTGAGAAATTAAACACTGAACTTGCAATATTTTCAATACTGTGTTGGCTCACTACTGGACTGTGGAAGAGGTAAGTTACGGATAAAAAAAATGCAGTATGTCATGAAAGAATATACTGGCTGATTTCTAAAACTGTTAGAGTATGTATAGAGGTTTGAAGTCTATTAGTAAATCATGAGACAGCTGCCTTACCCGCCCAGATTATTTTGTCATCTTTCTACAGATGATCACATTGCTTACAGCTTTATAAAACTATTAGTATATTTATGCAAATAAGCACATATTCAGGGATGAGTACTAAATGTTGCATTGATAAAAGAGCGTACTATGTTGTGCCACAAGAAATAAACCGATGCAAAGTTTTAGGGAAAAAAAAGGAAAAATAACCTCAGACTTGTTAAAATGACATAACATTATGCCAGCTCACATTATTGATTCTGAGGAGCAATATTGTAATGAGGAAAGAACAATTTATTGAGATATTGTGACCTACGTATTTACTTTAAATTTTAGTATCATTTATAATAAAAATACAATGTGAAACTCCATCTATGATACATTTTCTCCTTGGAAGAAATACAATGGCTTTGTTGTTCTAGGTCTGGAAGAAAGGAAGGAAAGTATATAAAATTGAGATTTTACAAGAAAAAAAAAAGACCAAGCCTGTCCTACAACTCTCAGTATTTTTAAATGATATCTTGTAGAAATTCCTAAATAAAATTACCAAGGAGAATAAGAGTAGTCCTTTTTTTTTTCCCTAAAATAATCAAGGTAATTACAGAATTGACTGATTATTTTTCTTTTATAACTTACTCTGTTTCTTACAATTTTTGCTAAAAATTGCTTATAAAATATGCATTCTTACCACTGACATGCTCCCAGAAACATCCAGCACTAAAGCAACTGCTCTGTCTTGGGTCTGCAGTAGTGTGAAGGTAGTCTCAGAGGGGGGTGCAGAAGCATTTAAAACAGCTGAGTTGCGAAAGTCATCAGATTCCATAATTACTTCCCACGTGCTTTTGTAGTTGCATATCTTATTCTGCATATTTGGAGCCTCAATATTGTGAGTGTTTTTATCACAAAATTCAACAACCTAAAAAGTCAGATTGAAGCTGATAGTAATTCTGAAGCCAACAATATGAGCATAAGAAAATGTCTCAGAAAATACAAAGTTTATGGTGTGGGACAGGACAAATAGAGATGTTCTCCAGTGAATGTCCTCTGTGCCATGGTGCCTGGCCAGCCAGGATCTTAGAAGAGGCAAGCAAAGAAAGTGCTCCCAAAAAACCTATCTCAGATTTTACATAAGCACAAGCATGTTGTGACATGCAGAAACAAAACTTTCAGTCTGTGAGTACTGAGATCCTTGGAGTGACTGATTCACGAGGCTCCTACTAAATGTTAAGCCTACTAACATAGATACTGTAGCTGAACAGCATGGAGGTCAGCACAAGTTACCAGCCTGCATATTTAACCAACTTCTTGGGTTAAGCTGATGGTTCCTGTAAGTTTTCTTGAGTGGAATAAGGAAACATGCAAAGATACAAAGTCAAGACTTTGAGAGAAGCAGGAAATACTCTTTTAGATGTCTAAGGATGTCCATGGTATACTGCTGAGGGAAGGACATGACCATTGTTATGGGCTAACTCCAGCGGGCAGATAAGCACCACGCTTCCTCCCCCTCCCCAGTAGGATGGGGGAAGAGGAAAGGAGGAATAAAAGAAAAAAAACTTTAGAGTCACGATAAAACAAAGCAAAGCAAAAAATATTGTTTGATAAGTGAAGGATAAGTGAAAGAAGAGAGAAAAAACACAACAAAACAACTGATGCAAAGGCAATCACTCGCCACCTCCTGTGCGTAGACCGATACCCAGCCAGTTCCTGAGTATAAGATGACTCATCCTCCTAAAACCTCCTCTTTTTCCTTTTAATGCTGAGCATGACATTATATGGTCTAGAATATCTCTTAGGTTACTTTCAGTCATCTGCCTGGTTGTGTCCCTTTCCTGCCTCCTGCGCACCCCCCAGTCTATTCACTAGGTGGGGCAGGGTGAGAAACAAGAGGTGACCTTGATGCTATTCAGCTAAAGCTAGAACATTAGTGTGTTATTAGTACTGGTTTGGTCAAAAATCTAAAACATAGCACCATATGATCTGTTATGAAGAAAATTAACTGTATCCTAGCCAGGCCCAGTACACCCATAAAGTTCTTGGAAAGAGCTTGCCCAAAGAAATAAAGTCAATAGCTGGAGGAACGGTGATCCTGTACCACAGAGATTTAGCCTGCAAAGAGACTGTCCATCCTGCTAACCCCTGTCCCAGCACCCTTTCCCAGACAGTGGAACAGTACGGAGCTGGCATGAGTAGGCCTGCCTGGTTGTCCTGGCTGCTTTCAAGGGAGGTGGGCTGCTGCTTCTGTGTTAAGGATAGACAGACAGACCGACCAGAGTTCTCTGTAATGGCATGCAATAGAGCTAACCAGGTAACACAGTTCAGCTGCCAATTTACATAAGGAGTGATCAAAACCCACAGTTATCTTATGGACAAGGCATTTGGCAAGAATGCTTCATTTTTATGCCTGTTGACCTGATTTTCCAAACACGGAGCAAGAAGGATGCTGAGACTGCAGCACATCTTACTCTTATTGACGAGAAACAGCTGTCAAATCATTTCCAGTAGCTCCTTTGTCTTCCCTTTTTAACAGATTTTAATAGAACTGATTCTCCCCAGCAGAAATAACTGACTTAGACCCCAAATGTTACCAAACCCTCAGTCCAGAAAGGTATAGTGATACTTACAGAAGGTATGGATTGAAAACACATAACAGAACCTGAGATATCTTGTTGTATATCTGGAATAAATGAACATCCTTTTTCATATAGCTGACCATCGTATCTACAGCTTCTTGACTCACACTTGTCTCCATTGCAGTCTGCAAAAACAGGTGTACCAGTCAAACCAGCCGGACAGCTAAGGGAAGAGAAGGTACGCAGGGCTGGTTAGGAACCCATATATAGTCTGTGACTGGTTATTCATTTGCATTTTGTCTATACTAGACACTGAACAAGTACATAGGTAGGCTGTCTGTGTGCTTCACAGGGTCCTCAAGCTAATCTAGGAATAGTTAAAACCATAAAACACTTGTGGTCTTTTGTGATCTTCCTTGTGATAATTATAGGATATGCAGGAAAGACATTCTGCTAGTAGTTGCAATAAAAAGGACTGTATCGGTATGCCAGAGCTAGGAAAAAAAGGCAAGCGTGAAATAATTCTCTACATCCATTCAGTTATTGTCCCTCTTTGTAGAAGCTGTTTAGAATCACAATGGTTTCAGTAGGCAATTTCAGCGTTGTTGATAATTACACTTCAATAAAATTATGTTAAATAAATATGAAACAAATGGTAGCTGAAGTCTGCAGTTGCTCACAGAGCAAAAGATTACCCAGCCTGATCTCCTGAATGTCTTACAAAACAGCACTGAAGGCAGCTGTAATTTTCTGGGCAGCAGAGCAGGCAATAGATGTTGCTGAGTAAGCATCTTTTAATCATATGAACAGGTTGTGGACACACTACAAAGTACAAACTCAGCACAGATGAGGATATTGAAAATGTTATCAAAATGTTTAAATCTGTGTAATGTAAAAGCAGAAATATGAAAAAAATACCTTGTTGCTTTAACACTTCCTTTTTTGGAATTTCTAGACACATAAAAAGGCATGTCGCTGTTATATTCATCGAACACTCCCCACCGCAAGTGAGCCCATTCGTGGACAAAAACTCGACCTGTTGAAAAAGAGTCGCGCATGCACATTCTAAATATAACTGCTTAAAATCTAGTCAGTATTTTACTTAGATATTTTAACAATTTAAAATAATTCTTATCTGAGGTAATACAAGAAGATTGTGAATTTTTTAAGCAATTGGGATAATATATATATTTTTTTTTTTTTAGGTAAAACTAGGAAGGATCAGTTTAGCAACCAAGACTAGAATTTTTATTCCTATTTCACTATCAGAAATGCAGGAACTGTTGTAGAGGCTTTCTTCCAAGTCGGTAAAATTTCCTCAGGAAATTTAGGTTTTGTGAGGTTTCTGTCCCCCAGAGCAGCAAACCTTATCTTTTTGACACAGTGTCGTACAAAATCAGATAAACACTGGATAGTTTATTTGGTAAGTGGTCATACAAGGAAGGCTACTGCTAAAGGTTTTCAAAGGGATGAACAACTTCTGGATCCAGTGTTTGAACGTTTAAGTTCAGACATTTCACAAGTATTTAGTACTTCTGAAAAATATGTCTCTCAAAAGTTTTTGTCATTTTGGCAAGCAGATTTAAGTACCCAAATTCATTAATCATGTAGAGAAATCTTGGTTATTTCATATGAACAATAAATCAGGCAATTAAATTAAACAGTTACATTACCTCTTTCTCCATAACCTTTAGCTAAATGGTCATTTAACAAGAAGTTAGGTGTGAAATGGATGTATCGTCCTTTCTCCTTACATCCTCCATACTGTAAGGTATAAGGATCATCTACCTGTTTCATATAATGGTCTGCTATGATGACATCTGCCTGAAAATGTAAGATCAAAGTTATATATAACATGGGTATAGAGAAGAGTTAGGTGATTCTTGTTGAATAAATTCAGTCCTGCAGTTTTTTTTATCCTACAAACACTCTCAACACTTTTGAGTAAGAACTTTCAGGATTAGTCCTAGATTTTGCTGTGATTCGTAATGTAGCCATATCAGTCAGTCTAGCTTTTCCTTGTTCTAATCATAAAGAGTTCTCGAAATCATACCTTATTATATGATTCTGTTTTTAATCTTGAATAGTTGGGTTTTTTCTTCCACGTTTTAGGAATTATAATTTTTACAGACTTGAAGAAAAATCGATGTTTTGTCATTTCAAACAAGTAATTAGAAGCACTTTTAATCATGTTCTAGGGAATGAAGAAAAATATTAATATCAATATTAATGTTAAGAATCTGATTGTATGTGCAATGGATAATTTAACCATATCAAGAAACAACATTACAATAAAGTAAAACTAAGCACATAACACAAAACTAAGAAAGTATTACAATCTTTGCTAAGAAAAGAGTAAACAAAGAAGCCAAAGACTTCAGCTCTCTCCATGCCATCCCTTGCCTGCTCTGCAGATAGAACAGAGCAGTTTTAACTAGTTCAAGGAAACTGAAGGAATGTTGTAAGAGCAAGTTCTCATAAGGTCAGCTATAATGTGAATTTCATATGTGGTAGGTATCTCACAGTAACAGTAACTGTCACTTGTACACATCTACCCTTAATGAAAACGGAGTGATCTAAACTCTCCTTATTGTTAAAAAATGGACAGTTAATGACTGATGGTAAAAGGTAAACTATCACTTTCACTTCATGTAAACTTCTCACAAGATGAAAGAAATCTGGAAATGTTAAAAATTTTATGGCTGACCAAAGATGGTATCCTTCGTACTTGATCTTAGAGATGACATGTAGCTGAGCTAATCCCACACCAGGGTCTACTAGGCATTAGGCA